TCATCATTAACTAAAGTTTTAATTACGCCTCTAAAGCGATGAATAAACATTTTCCAGTATATAGCGCTTAAATGCGATGCTTACAATAACGATAACATCAACAACAACAACAGCAGCAACAACAATAACAACAACAATAATAATAATAATAATGAGGACATCAACAACGGTAATAACAACAACTCCCCTTGGCATGGCGAGTACGATGACAACGATGATGATGACGACAACAACAAAGAGAATGTAAACATTGATACCATCAATAATAACAATAATAATAATAATAACAATAATAATAACAATAACAATAATTATGATAACAATAATATCCAGGAAAATAATAATGAATCATTAAGGAACAACAACAACAGCAACAACAAAAACACTGTTTTAATTGGCGGTATAGGTAGGACCGAAAACAACGACAATACTTGTTGGGAGGAAACACCCGCTCCTAGCATCAACAACAACAATAAAAATGACGTCATCGTCAGTAACAACAACAACTACAACTACACTACCACAGGCAGCAAACTCTCAAAGCCGATCTCATTGTCAGTTGAGATTCCCAAGTTGTACCACTTCAACGTTGTCCGACTGCTAGCCTGGGCACGGCATCCCATCAAAGCTACCTTCCCAACTCAATACGGATCGTCGGATTCCGTTGTCTTGACCGGGATTGAAGAGGATATGAAGATGATCATTAGTGAAATTAGTCTCAAGGTCTTGTTTGTTTTTAGAATTTTTCTGTTTTCTTTTTTTCGTTGTTTGAATTTTATTTGATGATTTTGTTGAATTTTGATTGAATTTCGATTTTATTCTTTTTCTTTCTCATTTTTTCATTTTCTCTCTTTTCTCTCTTTTCTCTCTCTCTCTCTTCTTTTTCTCGCTCAAACACACATTTATTTCTATTAAAAATTTTCAAACTCCCTAGCTGGCAGACTGTACGAAAGTGAAGTTGAACTGTCCATCCCCCGTCACAAAGTTCACCCAATCATCTAATCTGACCCAGTTATTTCAAGAAATCCCAAAGGTCATTAATAAAAACACTTGACCTAGTTTTGCATTTTGATATATTTTAATGTGATTTTAATTCTTCATTCTTGCTATCGTCATCATCGTCGTCATCATCGTCGTCATCATTTCATTATCACTTCATCATCGTCAATGCAGTTGGTTATTAAGATCCAGGCATATGATCAGACGATACGATTGGAGGGTGCCAGCTCTGACGTCACCAGGGCTCAACCAATCATAGCTAAGATCATCTCGCAGATTAAAGTTACCGCGTTTTATTGTTTATTACTTTATAATCATAATAATGAAATTATTTAAATAATAATAATAATAATAATAATAATAATATTGTTGTTATTATTATTATTTCTTGGTTGCAGTTTACTGAAACATATTCATCAAATCTTCGAAACCTTCCACCCAACTACAATAACAAGAACAACAACAACAACAGCAATAATAACAATATTAGAAAGCTAAACAACAACAACAATAATAATAATAACATGAATAACAATAACGTTAATAGCAGGTTTAATAACAATAATAACAACAACAATAGAAACGTCAACAACAACAGCAACAACATTAGGGTAAACCACACCGGCCATAGAACATTTAACAACATCGACAACACTAATAATAATAATAATAATAACAATAATAATAATAATAACAATAATAATAGAAATAGTAACAATCAGCTTCACCCTCATAGAGTTCTTACTGAGCGGCCCGCCGTAACTTCATTTCTATTCTGATGATGAAACATTTATTCGTTCATCTACTCGTTCATTTATTCATTCATTTATCCATTCATCCGTACATTCGTTCGTTTGTTCATTTTTTGTGTTTGTTCGTTCATTCTTTCCTTCAACCTTAACCAATCGTCAATCCGAGGATCTAACCTTCCAATCTGTCATCCATCCATCTATTCATCCATCCATCCATACATTTATTCATTTAATTTTTCACTCATTCACTCATCCTCTCATTTCACAGATACCAGTTCAAGAGCAGCAGTTGAAGCAGCCCTACCCTAACGAGAGTAACAAATGGCTCGACTTGAGGAGCTTAACGATCTTCAAAGACCTGGCTACATCGGTTAACGTGGCAACCGTCCTCAAAAGAATTAGGACATGTTAGTGTCATTAATTAGGTCACTACTAATTAAAGGTCACTCCTTATTAGAAGTCACTCCTGATTAGAGGTCACTCCTAATTATAGGTCACTCCTAATTATAGGTCACTCCTAATTATAGGTCACTCCTAATTATAGGTCAGTTCATTACCTTTGGGCCAACCGAGCTGGTAATAAGAATTTCACGTTGACGTTAAATTTTTTTTCTTTCGATTTCTTTTTCATCGTCGTCGTCGCCGTGGTCACTTTATTATTATTATTTATTATTATTATGTAATTATTATTATTATTATGTAATTATATTATCTTAATAATAATAATTAATAATAATGATAATTAATAACAATAATAATAATACTCGTAAGGTTACATAGACGCTTTAGCAACGTCAATGCCCAGCCAGGCCGGTCTTGAACTTTACCGACAAAACGACAACAACAACAACAACAATAATAATAATAGTAATAATAATAATAATAATAACAACAATAATAATGCAAATAATAATAATAATATCAGTAACGTGGCTAATGACCACGTGGTCTATTACAACAACAACAACAACTACGGTGGAAACATTAACATGATCTCCAGTAACATCAATAATAATAATAATAGTAATAATAATAATAATAACATACATAACAATAACAACAATATTTATAACAATAATCATAATAGTAATAACAACATCAGCATCAACAACAACAACGTAAACTACAATAACGATGATAATAATAATAATAATAATACCATCTTCAACACTAACAACACTAACAAAAATAATAATAATAATAATTATACAGTTATTATTGATAATGATGATGGTGATGATGATGATGATGATGGTGACGATGGCGGTGATGATGACGATAACAGCCTAGAAAGCTTCGCAATGGAAAATATTGCTGATGATGAAACCAAGCAAAATGATGATGACGATGATGATGATGATGACGATGATGATGATGAAATGATGAAAAATAATGGGGCAGTTTCATCCAGTGAATCAGATTTTAGCCGTGACGATGACGACGACGATGACAATGATGATGAAGATTACGATGATGACGATGATGATATCAGGGAAATAAATAATGACGTCATCAACAACAACAATAATAATGATAATAATATTATTATCAACAACACCAATAATAATAATAATATTAATGATGATGATGATGATAATAACGTTGAAGCTATTGCCGACCAAGACAATCGTTTAATCCGTAACGACGACGATGATGAAGAAGAAGAAGAGGAAGATGGGGATGATGATGATGGTGACGGAAATGATGAAAATGATGACGTCGATGATGATCATCATCAAGCGGTCCTGGCTAAAAATAGAAAGTTTTCAAGCGAGGATGTGATTAGATACGTCCAAATGATGTCATCGTCGTCGTCCCCTTCCATTTCATCACTATCTCCAAACATGCTGACGTTCTCACCATCAACATTTGTGCCATCATCATCATCACTCTCGTTATCATCGTCGTCATCATCGCCACCGTTATCATTATCATCACTATCATCATCATCATCGCCGCCAATCCTGTTGTCGAATCTGGAAAGATCTCAAACGCCATCGTCGTCGTCATCGTCATTCGTACCGGCCACATTATTAACAACCTCAGTGGTGGTTTCATCATCGTCCTCTTCTTTTTCCTCATCATCGTCTTCGCTGGCGTCTTTAACCTCTAATGATAAGATGACGATGATAATGAATGGGACAGTTAGCAAGCTCCAGCATTTAAAGCTACCGATCAACAACCACAGCCACAACAACGTTAATGACAACAACATTAATAACAACAACAACATCAACAGAAACAACAATTACTACAATGGCTACAACTTTCATAACGTTTTCAGTAACAACATCAATAATAACAACAACAACAACAACATTAAATTCAATAACAACAAAAACAACAATAAAACATTAACTGGCGTCATTGCTTTAACTCAACAACAACAACATCAACAACAATTCAATTCCAACGAAATGGAAGAAAATATCCGAGTTGATAAAAAGTTTCACGCTAAACTATTCGGTAAAAACGGTTTCGGTCTGAAGAAATTATCGAAAATGTTCGGGGCGTCGGTATCTTTTAAACTGCCGGATATCTTCATCATCGCCGGTTCCAAGGAGAGGGTAATGATGACAAAGATGGAGATGGAGAAAATAGTTCTTGAAGCAGTTGGTCTTGATGTGATGTGTCAGGTTGATGTGATGATGTTATTATGATATGATCTGCTGCCATCATCACGCATTTTATTTTACTGTATTGTAGTTTATGCTGTTGTGGCTTCTATTATTATAGTTGTCAATTTTTCACTTACCTACTTACTTCTTCACTGATTGACTGACCGACCGACTCACTCACTCACTCCCTCACTCCCTCACTCCTTCACTCACTCACTTCTTCACTCCTTCACTCGCTCACTTACTCACTCACTCCTTACTCACTCATTCCTCATTCCTCACTCCTCACTCAGACGATGTCGGTACACGAATACTTCGACATCGAGCACTGCTATCACTCCCGTTTGATCGGCGTGAAAGGGAAGTGCGTGCAAAAGTTGATGAGCGACTTTGGCGTCGAGATCAAGTTTGCCGACCGACATTCGCCCAACCCCGACCAGGTGATGATCAGTGGCTTGCCGCAACGAGTCGCCGACTGCAAGCATTTCATTGTGCTCACTATCAACCAGATTGTTAGTTGGATGTTGTTGTTGTTGTTGTTGTTGTTACTTGTTGTGGTTGTTGTTGTAGTTGTTGTTGTTACTTGTTGTATGCTCAAATGTTGTTGTTGTTTGATATTTCGTTGAGGTTGCCTTTGAATGTATGCTTGTAATGTTTCTATGAAAACGGTTTAACGTGCAAGCATCATTTTCAGAAACAAGACCTCGAACTATCGGCGAAACTTCACCCTCTTCTTCCTCCTCCTTCTCATCTGCCGACAGCCGCTACCAGCGCCCTGGCGCCACCACAATTTACTATTCCTCTTCTGCCAGTGCCACTGAGCTTCCAGCAGAATTACGTCGCGACGACTCACTTGCCACACAGCAACCTTCTTAACATTAACAGTAACGTTTTTAATAGCTACTGCAGCAGCAGCAGCAGTTGTAACAGCAGTTTTAGTGGCAGCGGTAGTAGCGGTAGTATTGGTGGTTGTACTAACCACAACAACAACATCATCACCACAACCAACAATAACAATAATAACAATAATATTGGGAGTTTGTTGGCGGTAAATGGGGCTAACTATTTGAACCCGGGCTATCTTCTTAATAATGTCAACGTTGTCGCTTTCAATGGTGGAAATAATGGAGGTATCGTTGGTAACAACAACACCAACAACAACATTACCGGCAACACTAACGCCAACAATGTTGCGAACATTCTCAACAACAACAACATCAGCAGCAACAGCAACAACAACAACAACGATGGTAGTAGCGCAAACATAATGAACAACATCGATGAAAACAAATGCGCTTTGCTGTTGAAGAACGTTGAAAATACCGTCATGAACGGCTCCAACAATCGCAACAACAACAGCAACAACAGCACTTTTGCAGGCAATACAAACAACAACAACTACAATGCAAACAACATCATCAACAACAACTACTACAATTCTGTGAGTAACTTCGTCGCTGTGAACAGCTCAAAGCAGCTAAATTTCATGCTTAAAGTAGCAAAGAACAACATGTTCACAAAGAACAACAATAGCAACAATGACATCATTAGCAACAACAACAACATGATAAGTGGTTACGGTAACTTTTTTAGCAGTAGCAGCAGCAGCGTAACGAAGCACCAATCAAAATACAGTAATTATGTTTACAGGCCACAGTTGATCAATTAAATGATTGATTGGATGATTGATTGATTGATTGATTGATTGATTGATTGATTGATTGATTGATTGATTGATTGATTGATTGATTGATTTATTGATTGATTGATTGATTGATTGATTTATTGATTGATTGATTTATTGATTGATTGATTGATTGATTTATTGATTGATTGATTTATCGATTGATTGAATAAATGGTTGATTTAACAATTGAATGAATGATTGATTGAGTGAGTGAGCGAGTCAATGAATGAACAAATGATTGATTGGTTGTTACTTTCCCTCTTTTTTAATTGTTGTTCTATAATTCGTTTATGAGTTTGTTGAAAATTTTTTTGAAATAATTTTTTTTATATTTTTTACGTAAACGAGTTTTTTAACCATACTTTTATTACATTTTTACTTTTATATAATTTTGTCCATGCATTCATTCGTTCGTTCGTTCGTTCGTTCGTTCGTTCGTTCATTTATTCACTCACTCACTCATTCATTCATTTATTCATTCATTCCAACATTCATCCATCTATTATTTTATTCATCCGTTCGTCACGCACGAGCTCATTACATCTATTTTAAATTGTATATTTTTACAAGCTTTTTTCTTTCATCATATTTTATCCTGTACTTAGATGTGCGTGTGTGTGTGTGTATGCGTGCGTGCGTGCCTGTGTGTGTGTGTGTGTGGGTGTGTGTGGTGGTGCATGTTTCAATAATTAATTAATAATCAATACGACAGTTATTAAAGTTCCAACTGCTTTCAATGAAATTAACAATATTTCTGAATGTATGTATTCTCTCTCTCTCTCTCTCTCTCTCTCTCTCTCTCTTTCTTTCTCTCTTTCTCTATTTTATGTACAAAGATGCGTGTATGTGTGTGTGTGGGTGTGTGCATGTTTGTGTGTTTTTATGAATATGAGTTAGTATGTATATATGTTTGTTTGTTTGTGTGAGTGTGTGTGTGTGTGTGTGTGTGTGAGTGTATGTATATATATGTTTAGATAAAATTTTTCAATTTGTTTATTTGTGAATAATTTTTTAAAATTAAAATTTTTTCTCGCTCATTCATCCATCTGTCCAACCATCCATCCATTTATCATTCCATCTATTCGTCCATCTATCTATTCATTCATTCATTCGTTCGTTCGTTCGTTCATTCATTTATTCATTCATCCATTCATTCATCAACTCATTCACTCATTTGGTATTTGTTTTGCGATAGATTTACCTAACCTTACTACATCCAACGATGCTTCTTGGCTTACTTTTTAACAAATAAATAATTAATACAAGAAAAATTGCATTTCGACATGTTAATAATAACAATAATGTCAGTTGTTTAAAAATAAAAAATAGTTAAATTAAAGTAGAAGACAGCACATAGTTTCACGGTGCCTAGCTAGCCATTATCCTCATCATCATTTTCATCTTCATTCTCATCATCATCATTCATCATCATCACCAGAATAGTAATAATAATAATAAGAAGAAGAAAAACAATAATGATGTACTAATACACTACTTCAACCACCACCACTACTACTACTACTACTTTTGTTGCTAGTGTTGCTACTTCTGCATCTTCTTATTGATTTCATTGATAGGATTGAGAAGAATGAGCTGGATTCAGTAGCGTACAAAAGTTTAGACAAATTTGTAGCGAATTTGTCTAAATTTTAAACAAACCCTTAACACACTTACATTATTCACTTGAATTGCCACAATTTTTCTTGCGTGTGCGAATGTATGTTTCAATAATTTTTAGTTCTATGATTGTGTAAAAGTGAAATAGATTTAAATGTAAACTTAAATTGTAAGCAAACAACAATGATGCTGATTTATTTTCCCCAATGCAATCACAGCTAAACAACGTTTATTGAAATTAATTGATTAATTAATAACATAAGATAACAAAGTTTAAAGTGGTTCGGTAGACTTGCGTCTGTGTAAGAACCACTACTACAGAATAGATGTCCTAGCTCTCCTAGCTTGATTTTAAAATTGTTAATTGAATCCACTGAAAAAATTTCATCTGCTCAGGGGCGTTTGCCGCCCTGCTGCTGAAGAATCATTGCTTTATTGGATTTTCTGTCTTCTTGAAGGGCTTGTATCTGTGAACTCTTCTTAATAATCCTTTTCTTTTTTTCTAGTTGAAAGATGGTGAAACTGAAAGACAGAAAGGTTTTTTCTTTACTTTTCAAGTTATTAACTTACATGTCTGAATCAGATCTCCTCTGCATCTTCTCCTTTTTGGCGTTTTTAATTCGTATTCCTATCTAATGTTCTAATCTATCTATCTTTATCCCTATATTCTAGTTATACAAATTCTTTGATCATCATTAATTAATTAATTAATTAATTAATAAACAAAATGTTAATTGATTTATTTATAAATAGATTATGATTATAGATAATAATAAATTAACTTTCAGTAGTGAATTTTCATTGTTACTTTCTTAATATTCTCATTTCAATTTCAATAACTTTTATAAATTTTATTTATAATTTTTTTAATGCCATCATCATAGGTAGTAATTATGTGTGTGTGTATGTTTGTATGTGTATATTGTATATGTATGTGTGTATGATGTGTGTATGTATGAATGTATGTATGTATGTATGTATGTACGTATGTTAAAACCAAAACATGATGAGTGACACTGAACTGTCAAACATCAAGTAACAAATGGATTAACACTTTGATTTGTCGTTAATTGCACATGTTGGCATTCAGTTGGATATTTTCAAGCACACAGACACGCAGGAACCGCTGCAACAAGCACGAAATGTGGTTAGTTGCGAAAAACAGTATGTATGTATGTATGTATATATGTATGTATGTATGAACCCGTTTTGATGAACAAGCCATGGTTAGGCATGCAATCGTTTCCGAGTTCAACTTTTATCTATGTCCCTGGTCTCGCACAGTCAGGTATCTAGCAGCTCCATCCAGAGTATGTATGTATGTATGTATGTATGTAGGCTTGCTGGTATGTTGGCATCATCACCTATTGTATTTCTTTCTGTTTAAAATGTTTATGTTATGTTTATGCAATTAAGTGCTCTTATTTTTGTATATGTATATATATATATATATATATATATATATATATATATATATATAAGAGTGTGTGTGCGTGTGCGTGTGTGAGTTTTTGTGCCAGTGTGTTTTTGTTATTGTGTATGTATATGTACCTATGCATGGTCTAGATGTGAGACATTTCAATAGCATTCAAAGTGATGTTTAAATTACATTACCATAGTGCTGATGAATAATGCTACAAATTCTGGAAATATATATCCAATCACGCATACATATGTACACACACACACACACACACACACACACATACATACAAATATACATACTCACATACACACATACAAACAAGCGTACATTCTTACTTGCATACATATGTTCATCTGTAACTTACATACAAAAATTGTGTGCATATCTGTGAAGTGTGAGCATAACATATTGAGAAAAGTTTTTGATGGAATTTTATTCAATGATAAGATAAATTGATTCCAGGTATTTTACCAATGATTGGATTATGTATGTAGGTGTGTGTGTGTGTTTGTTTGTGTGTGTATGCGCGTGTGTGTGTGCGCGCATGTGTACAATTGTTATGTATTCCTGTAAATTGTTATATGTATCTTGTATTTATATCACTGTTCAATTATTTTATACTGTTCTATTCTCATTGATTCATATGTATGTGTGTGTGTGTGTTTGTGGTGTGTGTATATGTATGTTTGTATGTATGTATGTCTCTTTATAAAATATTACTAGCAATGTTTACATTGGATCGAATGTGCAACACAGTGCTATACCAGTATAGTATATATTTAATAAGTTCAATGCATGCATGAACCAATTAAATTATAGCTGGTTCATCAAAGAATGCTCTAACCAATACAATTATTATTATTTTTGTTGTTTTTATTGTTGTTGTTGTTGTTGTTATTCTATTTAATGATGTTTATTTGAATTTTTGTCAGATGATTCAATCCTGAAGACTGCCATTTACTAGAATTAACTTGAATACAAGACAGGTTACAACAACGACAACGTCATAAAAAACAACAACAGCAATAACAACAACAATAATGCTAATAATATAACAACAATTCTCTTCTACTCATGCATTCCCTAGCCACTGGCAACAACTAACTATGTATGAAACAACAACAACAACGAAACTGATCTCATTAATAACAGCAAATAAAATGACTAAAAGAATGTGTTGTCACATTAATAATAGTTGATGATATATACACTTACAATAATTACATCAACAGTTGCAGTACTGACTGCACAGCTAAAATGTACTAAACAATTAATCAATTAACCATTAACCATTTGTTAGTAAAAGTTTTGAAATAAGTTCACATTATTTTCAACTGAAAGTTCATCCCTGCATCAATAACATCAAGAAAGTAAGTTTTATTTCCTATTTTATTTTATTTTATTTTATTTCCTACTACTTCCAATTCTACAACCACCAATACTACTTGTAGTTATTGTGGCAGCAGCTGTAGTAGTAGTAGTAGTTGTTGTTGTTGTTGTACTATAGAAAATTTTGAAAATTTCATGTGCTTTGTCAGACATTAAACAACACAAGTTCTAGAAAACGTCTGTCTTTTCGTAAAGATGAAAAAAATTAAGTTTCAATTATGAGTAGTGTATCAGCGCTAGTAGCAGCAGCAGCAGCAGTAGCAGTAGTAGTAGTAGTATTGACTTATAAAAATAAATCTTTCTAAACAACAGCTTAGATAAATAATGAAGTTGTAAAGTTTACATACACCATAGCTATCTTCCACACGCAGATTAAGTAATTTATATCAGCGTGAACGAACATGTGTTACGACATGTAACTGAATTGTTTCTAGAAGGTGAACGTGTGTGACCTAGTTGGATTTTTTTTGTTTGGGTTTCAAAAATTAAACATTGACCCATTTTTTCTTTTTCAAAATGTGAAAATATTGGTCCTATGCCAATGATTCTCAAGACCACTGCTACTACAACTGCTAAATCCACAGGGTACTATTGCTGCTACTACTACAATTACTATTATTCCCTCTCATTTTCATCACTTTGAAGACATTTTCTACATAATTACGAACTAGCTGTGGGTTATTTGGCTGTATGTATTATGCGGCATTAAAATTATCATCATTTTCGTCGTCATCATCTTCTTCACCATTTTCGTCATCATCATCTTCATCATTTTCATCTTCATCGTCATCATCACCATCTTCATCATCATCTTCACCATAATCTTCATCATCATCTTCATCATCATCTTCATCATCATTTTCATCCTCATCGTCATCATCATCCTCCGAACAGACCACCATAAAATAAATAAACCCATGGATCGCATCCTCTTTCTCTTCCGTGACGCCAAAGACGTGAACTTGGGAGGCGCCGACAGCTTCAGCGACCGACTCAGCTGCCAGTACACCGTGACCATCCTCATCATCTTCGCCATCATGACCACCACCAGACAGTACGTCAGTGAACCCATCAGCTGCTGGTGCCCAAACTATTTCACCAGAGATCAAATTGATTATGTTAATAAGGTCGGTCGATTTCGTTTGGCTGCATTGGTCGGTTCGTTGAAATTTAAAAAATTTTTTCAAATTGCCGTAGTAACATTTAAAAAGAGTGTAGAAATTAAAATTTCGTTAATTAACTGATTAATTAAATTAGTTGGCTAATTAATTAAATTATTTTAATCAACTCAGGTGTGCTGGACTACAAGTACGTACTATCTCTCCGAAGAAATTGCCGAAATTCCGGATGAAAAGGACATAGGGAACATGGTGAGTTACTACCAATGGATCCCGCTGATGGCAGTCGGACAGGCTGCAATGTTCTTCATGCCGAGAATAATCTGGAATCTTCTCAATAAGAAGTCTGGCATCTCGGTCAGCAGCATCACTGACGCTGCAGTTGAGAGGCAGAAGAAGGCTGACCAGGTTGGCGTTAATTCAGTTTTTTCGTCCAGTGCTTGCGATTTAAAATTAGTTATTCTTTGTTGTCGTGTTATACTATATTTGTTATTATTATCATTTTTTCTTTATGTCGTTAAATTTGTGTGAAATGTTTTGTTTTGTTTCGTTTTTGCAGTGCAGTGCTGAGAAGACGATGGAATTCATGGTGAAATCGCTCGGTAAGTTTCTGAAGGAGTTGAGTTGGGATCGCACGAAGGATGTCGGCAAGTCCGGACACAAAGGTCGCTTCGGAATGTTCTGCGGTTGCTGTTTGAAACGTAACACGTACATATTAGTGTATGGAAATTATTTGACCTGCCTCTACATACTCATCAAACTTATCTACATCATCAACGTCATCCTGCAAATATTCCTCTTGAACGGTTTCCTAAAAACAAATTACGAACTGTACGGATTCGAAACTATACGCAAGATGCTGGCCGGTCAAGACTGGACAACTTCTGAACGGTTTCCGCGAATATCAATGTGTTCGTTCACCATACGGGCGATGGGCGAAAATATGCACAAGTACTTGGTGCAATGTGCCATCCCTATAAATCTTCTACACGAAATTTTCTACATATTTCTGTGGTTTTGGTTCGTATTCTTGCTGGTCGTCACCTCCTACAGTACGGTCTCCTGGTGCCACCTCTGCTTTCCTCTCAGCAAGCGAGAGACCTACGTGCGGAACAAACTCTACGCAGATGGCATTCTCAGGCGCAAACCTGATCCGGAAACGGAAATAATACTTGCCGGGTTCGTCAAATGCTACTTAAGAAGGGATGGCTGTTTTATCGCACGATTAGTCGGTCGGAACACGAGCGATGTTGTGGCAGCTGAACTTCTGGGTGGTTTGTGGAAAGATTACCGCCTGAAGACCATCAAATTTAAAAGCATGTCCATGAGCTGTGCCGAGGAAAACATCGGCTTTTTCACCAACGCCAGTGGAGATAATGTAAACTGTGGCTCCACTAAGAGAGGAACCAAAAAAACCACCAGCTGCATCGATCGAAATCGTTTCGGAAGCGACCACACTGAACTATGTCGACGTTGTGGCGATGAAGAAATCTGCTGCAAATGTCAAGCTATGCATGAAAAAGCACCTGATGATATCATAGCAATCAACGCCAATACATTGTTCGAACCGGGCAAGCCAGGGGAAAAGCCTAACATCAAACCATCGTCACCATACTCGGATAAATCATCGTTGAAAAATAGATTGAACAGGGTCAACAACAACAACAATAACAGCAGCAACAACAACAATAGCATCAGCAACAACAACAAATACAACGTAACTGAATTCCCGAACGGAAGTTTCAGTCCCAACAGCAGCAGCCAACAAAGAGGCTTTCACGTCAATTTCAATTCGCAACTAGCGCAGGTCGTCCAGTCCAAATATCGCCGAAATGATGAGACAGGTTATAATAATAGTAATGATAATATCAATAATAATAATAATAATAACTATAATAATTATAATACAAGTAATAATAATAATAATAACCTTTATGGTAGTCCTACAAATAGAGGCAATAACCGTAATAGTAATAATTGGAGAAGCGACAAACCCAACGAAAATTATAACGATAATAACTTCAGATATAACGGGAACAACAACAACAACAACAACATTAATAATAATAATAACAATAATAATAATAATGATAATAATAGAACGTGCGCCAGAGTCCAGGAGGCGAGCAAACTTAGATGCTTTCAGAGCAATCAAACTAGATTAGATCATAACGATAACGTAGATAACAACAACAGCAATAACAACAACGATAATTATAATAATAACAATAATAATAATAACAGTTTAAGTAGCGTTGGTGTTTTTTTAAACGATACAGATCTTTACGGCGATTACGATAAGCCGAGTCATTTCCATACCGAAACCGATAATGACGATTTTGTACAAATTCGCGCTATTATAAACAACAGCAACAACAATGATGATGATGACCTCAACTTTGTTGGCGATAGATATGCTATAGATATAAATAGCAACAACAATAATAATAATAATAGGGGTAATACCAACGCCAATCACAACAACAGCAGTAATATTTTTAGCGGAGATACGAAAACTAAAAGAGATAAAAACCAAGAAACAGGAGAGAGAGGGAGAGAAAGAGAGAGAGAAGGGAGGGCACATGGCAGTAGGGGCGGGGCAATAAGTCAGGCCCCAACTCTATATCATAGGAATTATTCGAATCCCTTGGAGCACATGCATTTTGACGATACGTAATGAATAATTTGGCAAAATACTTTGGCAATAGTAATAGTTGGTTGGAGTTTGTTGTTTATGGTGTTGTTGTTTATATTCTTTGTTATTATTTATGTTCTTTGTTAGTTGAGTTAATGTTTATTTGTTAGTTTCTTTTGATCAATAAATTAATTTATTTTTGCTAGATATTATACATACATACATATATATATGTGTATATATATATATCCTCATTTTTTTCTGCATGTAACAAGTTTTTAATTTATGTTCATTTATCATTCTTTTTTTTTCAATTTTCATTTTGAGGTCCTTTTGACGTAGTTGAACTGAGTTTACGCATGTATTTGTATAAGCATGTCAGTAGTAAATTTAAGCAGAATATTCTCTTCTACATTCATTAACGAGATAAATTAATTTAAAAAAAATGACTCGTAAAATTTGATACACGACTTGGGCTACGAGCGAACGTAAGAAGTTGGTAGGAATGTCGGAAAACTTGGAAAAGATCATAACTTGATCGAATTCAACAAAACATGTGTGTGTGTGTGTGTTGTGTGTGCTTGTGTGTGTGTGTGTGGTGTGTGTGTGTGTGTGTGTGGTGTGTGTGTGACTTCTCTCTAGTAAACCGTTCATAATACTTCATTTATAATAATGCTCTTTGATCAATGCAATTTCCCGTAAGGCTTTCACGTGTTGTCGATAATTATTTATACCATTTATATATCATTTCTGTATCAACTGTCTCTGTAGCTTTAATAATCAATATTTACGATAAATAAATATATGAATATGTTTCTAATTATTAACAATATTCGTCTTTTAGCAATTTTTAACACAATATAAACAAGGAAAATTCTGTTTGTTTACGTTTTAAATGAAGAAATTAACATGTACCAACAAACATACACACGCACACATACACACGCACACATACATATATACATACATACACGCACACATACATGGACACACACACGAATGTTTCATTCTATCATAACATGATGAATGACCTCATAACGTCTGAAGCGATCATCATTTTAAATGTCACAGGCTAAAATAAATGATCTCAGATAGATATGCGTATGTAACGCCATACAAAACACAATACAATCAAATACAATACAATCAAATACAAATAATACCACAAAAAACAACACATACATACACATATACACTCATACATACATACATACATATGCATCATACATACATACATACACACGCACACATCAAACATTTAATAACGAATTTCAAACGGAGATTTAAATGAAAACTTTGAAAAAAAAGCAAGCTTGTCATAGAGGAGTATCACCCGATCGATTACTGCTCCACACCTGAATGAATGAATTAACGAATGAATGAATAAATAAATGAATGCGTTAACGAATGAATAAGTAAATTGAATGAACGATTGATTGATTGATTGAATGAATGAATATCTATCGATTGAAAAATTAATGGGAGTGGAGGCAAAAATTTGTTTCTACCACTTAGAGTAAGGTAAATGTCTTTTCTACAATTTCAATGAAGATTATGATGGTTGTGATGATGACGATCATGATGATGATCACGATAGTGATGCTGAAACAGTTATGCCGATGATGATGATGATGACAATTTAAACGCTACACACAAAATTCTCGACTTAACGTTGTCTCATAAAAACACGTATAAAAATATACGTATGTGTGTACATTTATGTGTGTCTATGTATGTGTGTATGTCTGTACATATACAAAAAATGTATGTATATATGTTTGTGTGTGTTTATTTGTATGTGTGTGTGTGTGTGTGTGTGTGTGCGTTTGTGTGTAACGAAAATAAAGTTATTCTTGTATGATTTCTTGTGCAAATACTAAAAAGTTGCATGTGCTGTTTTCTCATGATGATGATGATGACGATGATGATGATGATGACGAAGGTTATGATGATGATGATGATAAGATGATAACGGCTGGGATGACAGAAATCTGTTCACCTGTTCATCCGTATATATATATATATATATATATATATATATATACATACAAACAAACATACACACATACATACTTTATATACTTTAGAAATTCTTCTTAACTGCTTGCAGAGTTTACCTTACCTTCAGGCTTAAATAAACGTCATTTCATTTTCAAATTTCCTAACATGCGTTGCTACAGTTTGGATTGCTGTTAATATTATTATTATTATTATTTATATTATTGAATATTTATTATTATTATTGTTGTGGTTTTTATTATTATTATTTGTGAGTACGACTCTCGAAGCATACAAATTTATAGAAAGTGTTTATTTACTTGCAGGATTACCATCTTGAATACAAAGATGTGTGTGAATTTATTGTATGCATGTATGTATGTATGTATGTATGTATGTATGTATGTATGTATGTATGTATGTATGTATGTATGTATGTATGTATGTATGTATGTATGTATGTATGTATGTATGTGTGTATTTGTATATAATGTATGTTTGTATGTATGTTTGTACGTACGTATGTATGTAAGTATGTTCGTACATACACACTTGTGTGTGTATGTATGTGTATGTTTGCTTGTATGTATGTATATTTTTTGTATGTTTGTTTGTTTGTTTGTTTGTGTGTATTTATGTATATTCATAACGATTTTGAAAATTCTCTATTTAGAAAAGGCATAAAATTTTCAATATCCTTTCATTTACCCTTTCATTCGCACTTTAATTCATTCATTCGTTCGTTCGTTCGTTCGTTCGTTCGTTCGTTCATTAATTAATTCATTCATTCTTTCGTTCGTTCGTTCATTCATTCATAGTACCGTAGACAAAGGGTGATTTATTATTATTAATGTTATTATTATTATTGTTTTTTTATTATTATTATTATGTATTTTTAGAATTATTCTTTGCTGGTAAATATAGTTGTATATGTATGGTATTAGTGTGCATCCATCGGGGGCTTACCCGGATGGTTCGTTGAGACCTGGAATTGAAGACTTGGAGAAGAGCCGGCAAATGTTGTTGTTTAATACTGAGTGACATAGTTGTCTGCCCCTACCCAGGTGACAAGCTACATGTTTGTATTTATGTATGTATGTTTGTATTTATGTATGTATGTTTGTATTTATGTATGTATGTTTGTATTTATGTATATATGTTTGCATGTAGGTACAATTGTTTGAATGTATGTTTGTTTGTTTGTATGTATATATGTTTGTTTGTATGTATGAATGTTTGTATGTGAGTCAAAAATTTGTCCCGGTATATATAAAGAGATTTTCAGTAGATTTGATCTCACATCAGTCACCAAAACATACATTTCATAAATTCAAACAATAAATACATTGATTCTGTTGGCTAATCATAATTATATTAACTATAATTAAATAATTATTAATAATATCAAATATTAATAATAAAATTAATTTATCTAAACATTCCCTTTAACAGAAAATTCGGTCTTTGTTTGAATAAAAATCGTTAACTTTAGTCACTGTGTTGCTTTGCTGACAAAATTTTTAAAAAATATAATTAAATAATAATAATATAATAATAATATAATAATAATATGATGATGATGTTTATGAAAAAATCGCCACTTTCTCTCTTGATGGTGGTGATTATCCTGCTGGTGGCAATTATGTCTCTAAACTTTACAGCTATAGAAGGGGTTCGTTATAATTATTGTTATAATTATTATTATTATTAATATTAATATAAATATTATTAGTGCCAGTAGTACGATTTGTATATGATAGAATTATTTTCCTATACCCTCACTCTAGCGTCAATATCCCAGACAAAACCTAATGGAGAGATCGATCGGGAGAGTGAGAGGAGGTGGTTATGGTAATGGTAACAGTTTCAGACCAAAAAGACCATTTGATTCCATCACCAGAGACAGTAACTTTGGATCTTTCGGTTACGATTATGACGATTATTCACCGACATTTGGAGATATGAGAAAGAAAAATGGTTGGTTGCTTGGATGGTTCGTCTGTTTTTTGATTGGTTGCTTGAGTGGAAACTGGCTGGTTGATTGGTTTCTTGATTGAGTATCAGATTGGGAGGCATGTTGATTGGCTGGTTAACTGGCTGATTGTAGCCTGATTAATTTTGATTGGCTGGTTTTATTAATTAATTCATTGATTGGTTGGTTGGTTTTATTAATTGATTTATTGATTTGAATGGCTGATTGGTTGGCTGGTTGGTTGGTTGGGCTACATTATATGAATATCTATACCAAATCAACAGATCTAACCCATTATACTAAATAAAAAAATTAATTAATCGTTACAGTAGAATGAAAGAGCGAGTGAAAATGAAAATAAAAAATGAAAGAAGAAAATGAAATGAAATGGTGTTTCGGTTTTTCTGATTCTACCGCTATCATTTCAAAGACAACCGCTCTTGTAAATTTAAATAAAATTCATTATTAATCGTATAAATGATCCAATTATTCATTTAATATTAATTAATGTTATATTCATAATAAATAAAGTAAGTGTTATTATATTAATATCTCTAAAAATGTTTCATTAATAAAGTTAAATGCGTGTGTTGTATTTATTTCATACCGACTTTATAACATAAAAACGCACCTATCTAGCATCTGTTACTATGACAACCGTTTGCCTTGTAACACCTGAATTAGTTCTCATTACATGCCCACCTTGGTCATTTTCAGACATGAAAACATAGAAATTGTTAACTTTAATAATTAATTTTAAAATTATTCTTTAATTTTAGTAATAAAAATAAATAAAATTATTATTTGGTTTTAAATTGTTTTGCAAGAAGTTTGCTAAAGAAGTTTTTTTTTTGAAATTATGCCTCCGAAATCTAAGAGAGTTGTGATTTCGCAAAAATCAGGTTTTTATTTATTTAAATTTAATTATTTCTTCAATAATTATACATATTATTTTAAATAATAATAATTATTATGATTGCATATCATTAATTTTGTAATTTTAATAACAATTTTTTGCATAGAGAGTGAGCTATCGATAGACGAGAAATACAAAAGATCGGTTAATGAGGCAAATTATTTGAGAGACCATCTAGGTTTGCCTTTGAAAATTAGCTTTGTAACATTTACACATTTACTTATTTATAATTAATTTTCATATTAATAAATTTTCTATACTTAGATTTTGATTTTTATATCTTATATATTATTGAATATTTAGACTATATGTGCGTGATGATGAAATTATAAAATTATAACTTAATGTTGTTGGTGCTGTTACTACTGCTGCTACTACTACTGCTGCTGTTACTGCTACCACTTCTACTACAGCCGCCAAAAAAGATTTAGCCACCAGGTCCCAACAGGCGTGTGAAGAATGGAAGACTAGAATGAAGGAAGTGGAAACAGATTTGGAAGAAACGAGGTCTAATCATCGAGCAGTTAGCGCGAGTACGTAAGAAATTCGTTTTAAAATTTTAATGTTTTGATGTTAATACATGTTTGGATCTGTATGCAATTGGCCAGTTTGAAACAAAGAGAGGTCAATGTTATACAGCCATCGAAAATGTTATACTATTTGGGGATGACTTCGTTTGAACGCCATGAAGCCTCCGTTCCACTGAACCATTTCTAATGTGATTTGTATTAATATTATTGAAAAATTTAATAAAAATTTAGATTTATCGCGCCAGTACAAGTTGCTCCAATCAGATATGACGATGAAATTGAAACAGACGGAAGATGAATTGGGCAGAACGAAAATGAAACTAGGTCAGGAATTTTCACTGTCTAAAAATAACCACAGCCATATCATGGCATACGATACAATTAACACTTAATTAATTAATTAATTACAATAATTATAAAGAGTGGACACAGAATGAATTGACGAAGACGCAAAACGAGAAAGAGAAAATGGCGAAGGAGAAGGACGCCACCATCGGAAACCTCAACACGAAACTGACCACCATCATCACTCAATATGAGATATATTTCAACGTCAGTATCTTCAAGTACCATGATCATTACACGCACGCACGCACACACACACACGCACACACACGTACTCACACAATCATATGCTACCAGGGAGAGAGAGAGAGAAAGAGAGAAAGAGAGAGAAACACACAAATCGTAGCTACTACTCAAAAACACAAATCTACAGACGGCAACAACAATATTAATAATAAAAATATATAAAATTAAATTATAATATAATAATATATAATAATTAAAATATAATTAAAATTAACTTCATAACTACTCCAAAGAATTATATGGACGAAATGATGCAAAAACTGATGCGTTCGAAGGAGCGATGGGAAAGAGAGGCAGACGAAATACATCTCTTCAATAAGAATCTCATCATGGACTTCGCGCTGTGTTCCTCGAATGATACATAAATGATGGAAAACACGTAAACTCACACACGTACGTACACGCACACACACACACGCACACACACACACGCACACACACACGCCTTACCAGATGAATCTAAAGCGAAAGTTAGTTTTTTTAAGACGTGCAAACGACTGACTTAATTATTTAATCTTATCCAAAATTATATTAAAACCACATAAAGTGTTATTAATTTTTATCAGAATTAAAATAACAACAATATAGTAATAAATAAAACAACAATAATAATAATAACAACGATAACAAGAAGAATAATAATAAGACGGTGGCGATGCTATCACCAAATGAAAACAACAACAGCAACAACAAAACACAACGACAACAAAGAGAACAAGTGTTATCAATTAGGCATAAAGATAACAATAACAATAATAACAACAACAATAATAATAACAGCAATAACAATAAATTTTTATCACACGTATCTATCTACGCCAAAATGTGCGCAACAAAAACAGCCTTGAGTCGTGTTATCGTCGTCAGTCTCGTCATCATCATCATTAACACCATCATCATCATCATCTTTGTGATCATCATCATCATCACCATTACCACCATCATCATCATCATCTTTGTGATCATCATCATCATCACCATTACCACCATCATCATCATCATCTTTGTGATCATCATCATCATCACCATTACCACCATCATCATCATCTTAGTAATCATCATCATTACCATCATCGTCGTCGTCTTTTTTTCAACCCTCTAAATACTTTCATCTTCGTTTCAACAGTTTCGTTAATTGGAAATGTGCTTGTTTATTTGAGTTCCATATACGCATACATATATGCATACTCTCACACACACAAACACACACATACTGAGACAGACATAAACACACACATATACATACATACTGAGACAGACACAAACACACACACATACATACATATATAAATACACAATTACTTTACACGCATACAAATACAAAGATATCAACACAAAATAATTCACATCAGACATACACAACACACATAAACCTAACACAATACCGATAAACCGTTACATCATTAGCACAACAATTTTGAGTAATATTCATAACGTACACTCGCTGAAATAAAAAAAATGTTCTAAATATCCGAAATTATCCGATTGTAACGATAATATTTCCTAAAACTCGCTCCGACTCCCGCGGTGTTGTCCAGCCTTTTGTTTACCGAAAGTCGGTATTTGGTCCTTTATAACTTGAGTGATGTCGCTAACACTGGTTTGTGGACCCCAGGAACCGATCGGTTCTCCGTCCGTGCTGATTAGGAATTTGAAAAAGTTCCACGTGATTTGGGATTTTGTTTTTTCTGTGAAATTGTTTTGGTGTATTGTATTTGTACTGTGGTTTTTACGCTTTGAATTAAGAAATATGTGAGGAAAATTCGAGTGAAAAATATGAAAGATGAAATTAATGAAATGAAACTAGTGTAAAAAATGAGATGAAACATATTTTACACATATACAAGCACACATACGCACACACACACCATAAACATACACACAAACACACACTTGATAGCCACACAAAAACAAGATTAAACCTTGAAGAAATTGGAACAACGGAGATATAGGCTGGCTCTTCGTTATTTTAACTTTCCCAAAGATTGGAAAGTTCAGTCCGTACCTCTCTCTCACGAATTGCATTACCTCTGCTGTGTCCTGTGTACGTGTGTGTGTGTGTGTGTGTGTGTGCGCGTGTGTGTTTGAGTGTACATGTGTGGTATTTGGTTTCATATTTGACGTGTGTGTTTGCGTGCGTGTGTGGTTTTTGGTAAAAATTTTGTAAGAGATACGATTACGACTGTGTGATGTTTTTTATATTTTTTTCTAAATAAATAAATACAAATTAAATAAACAAAGACAAAGAAATCGAAAATAAAACTAAACATATCGTCCCAATAAAGAATTGATAAAAACTGGAAGTAAACAAATAAACCATACCAGTAGATTTCTAGCATGTGTATCTATGTATGTTTATGTGTGTACGAATGTATGTTAATGTGTGTACGAACGTATGTATGTGTGTGTGTACGAACGTATGTATGTGTGTACAAATGTTTGTATGAGTGTGTTTATCCGTCTGTCTGTTTGTACTCTACTTCATGTCGTGCCATCAAATGTTATTAATTAAAGAACTCTTAGGCTATATTGCAGACACGCACACACACACACACACACAGATACACACACACAGACACACACTCATACACACATAGGCACGTGTGTGTATATAATTATAATAAATACAAACACATGTGTTGTATTAATCTAACTGACTATCATTATTCTTTGATGCTTACCGTTATGCCATTAATTCCAATTCAACAACACCCACAATACTTATAATATGAATAATTATTATTATTATAATACTGCTGCTATTACTGCTGCTGCTACTGCTACTACTACTACGACAACTACTTCTGCTACTACTACTACGATTACTACTACTGCTACTATTACTTCTATTACTACTACCACTACTACTACTACAAAATAATTCTTCGGTATATTATAGTTGAGAAATTTTAAAATTCAGTCAAAAAAATTTGGCTATGATAAAAAAAATTAAAAATAATCAAAAAAAATAAAAAAATAACCAGAAAATAAAAATATACCCTTGGCTCTTGGTTGCCAAAATCGTTGCATGGAAACGCGAGTACTTGAAAATTTTCAGGACCCAACTCAGCTTGTAATCGAACCAGGGCTCTGTAGTGATTGTCTGTGTATCCGCACTCGCTTGCGACGTTCACTACCAAGAGAACCTGGTTGGATTAGGGATTTTGTGAGTGGATTGGTTGGTTGGTTAAATGGCTGATTGGATATTTGGTTGAAGGGTTGGTTGGTTATTAAAAACACACGCACCGCACGTGCAAACTAAACTAACTTTTCCTTTAAAGTGAGACAGAGATACTTTCTTGCCGAAACCATCTTCAACTTCAAAGTCAAAAAATTTTTGTGCTTCCGTACAAATGACGATCTCGAGGAGCAGAAACGTCATCATCAATAACGGTGACGTCATCATTATAGTTTTTATCGTTGGTTTCATTTCAGGAATTCGTCTTAAGGAAGTATCTTTTGCGTTGACTGTATGACACTGGGTTATATTTCCAGAGATTAGTAAACAATTAGTGGTATTTTTTAAAGCAATAACTATAGAGAATGTATCACTTGAATCCAACACTAATTTTACAAATGAAATATTTCAATTTGAAAGAAGAAATATGTTCAAACTAATCATCGATCTTCACTTACTCAATGCTTAAACAAACGTTACACGTATCAGAAAAAATCCCTCCGTAGTTTTATACAAGGAATAACCCTCATGTATATATAAATAGATGAATGTCTGCGGATATATCTGCTTATGTTTATAAGTACATGAAACGGAGTATATACATATTCGTCAGTGTTATACAACATACAAATATGGATGAATGTATGTATGTATGTATGCATGTATGTATGTGTGTATGTATGTATGTATGTATGTGTGTATGTATGTATGTATGTATGTATGTATGTATGTATGTATGTATGTATGTATGTATGTATGTATGTATGTATGTATGTATGTATGTATGTATGTATGTATGTATGTATGTATGTATGTATGTATGTATGCATGTATGTATGTATGTCGGTATGTGCACATAAACATTAAATCTGGATTTTAAATTCATCATGCATTTTTTGTCCCAAAACGGATCTCCATAATGTATTATTGCCATAGATAATTAAAGCCATATTGACTATGGATATAAGCATATAATTAGAATAAATATAACGGCCTTCGCTCATTTTTGACGGTCGAGCAAGAAGCTTTTTTCCGGAGGAGAATTGGAGGGTAATTTTTTATCGCTCAAGTCTAAAATTACGATCGTTTATTTACTAATTTCGGAATATTGCTTTTATTTAAAATGTTTTGAAAAGTGATGATACTAGATGCTGTTTTAGGATAGATATTGCTGTATGACGGTTTTTGCATTTTAAATTAAAAAAATTTTTTGTGAACCACTCTTCTAACACTTGACTCGTTAACGATTAACTGTAGCCGGTAAGGGTAACGTAACAACATTAACGACGACTAATTAGTAATTAAATTACTAAACTCTAATAATTAAGCTAAAACTAAACTACTAATTCTAATTACTAATTAAAATAAATAACAGATAACACTAACGAACATTAACAGATTAGACTACTAGAGACTACCAACCACTACACTACTACATACTACAACTACTACACTAACAGCGCTTGTTCCTAAAATCCTAAATCCTATTGCTTGATTGGTTGTAAAATTTTTACTTACAATGCTTAGGCCTGGGAATAAAGAATATATTTTTTAAAATAACTAATATTCAATGATTTTTGCTAGTTATTCAATTATGTGAATAATTTCATATAATTAGAATAATTTGTCGTGCTTGGATTATTGGCTTACGAAATTGCATGGATTTTAACGAGCAAGCTATATGAAATATTTACTTGATTTAATAATTAATATGCTTAAAACATTGTAGTAATTCTCTTTAATTTTATTGAATAAAATTATGATTTTATTAAATAAAATTATGTATTATTAAATTATTGTTGTTAATTTGAATATAAAAATTATACTTTTGGTCCTGTGAAATCCGGTGGTTTTTTACTGAAGCCGAAGGTTGGCTTAGTAGGATTGAACTAAAGTCACCCTTTTTTACACTATTCGATCATGTTAAAAATTTGTTTGCTCATGAAATAAACGACCTAAATAGATCAAAATTGTTATTTGAACAACTATCTTCATAATATTCAATGAATATTTTACATTCTGCTGGTGCTCATAGAAATTATGGTTGCTGAAATCATAGGTTGGCTTACTGCAGCGGCTTACTGGGTCTCATACAACAGTGTCATGGCGGTTTTCTTTACATACAATGCTTTAAATAAGTCAATATATTCGTTTCACAATTATTTTTGTCAATATAAATAAAGAAATTGCTTTTGTCTGGTAAAATACAGTGGCCAAGTAAAGCCGTATGTTGGCTTAATCGGATTTTTTTTTCATATATAAAATACTATGAAATCAATTAATCAATCAATCAATCAACCAACCATTCATTCAATCAACTAATCAACCAACCAATCAATGAACCATATTTGAAAAATATTTGCAAGGCTTGTTCAAACTCGAACAAACACTTAACTGTACAGATCTACAAACAATTTCGAGATTTTATTAAAGAAAGAAAAACACAATAGTTGCTTTTATTAAATCAAGAAATATCCAAAAATTATATAACCAAATTAAAAAAACTAGAAACCAGTCAACATTTAATAAATAATTAAATAAATAAATAGACATTATTAAAAAGATTGTTCAAAAAGGTAAAATTTAAGGCGACGACGAGAATAAAATGTAGTTTGTTTTGTTGGTGTGGGGCTGTGAAGCGAAAACGAACACATCACAAAAAACTAGTAAAAAGTCGCAAGAATAGTAGTCACCTACCTACAATTAAATTACTCTCAGGGCCCTAGCTTACTTATAATCATTAACTCAACTCACCTACCTACAAATATGTTTTTCTACGTTTTTGGAATTTTACATGTTTTAGGTATTTTATTTTACATATTTCAGCGTTTTTATTTTACTTGAAACTTTAACTAATGTTAAGCCCTAGCCTACCTACGATTGTTCAACTCATCTCAATCCCTAACTTACCTATGAATAAAATTAAGTCCGGTAAAGTTGAAGAGAAACATAACAACGACACCGAATGAATGGATGTTGTGTATGTGTGTGTTGTATTGATGTATGTGCGTAAATGTGCGCGCGTGTACTCTCCAGAAACTTCTTATTGTCATCTTAGAATTGTCATCGGAACGATCATCATGAGACCACCATCTGAAACGTGCTGACGCCCGCCACAACCCACCTCTCATCATTCTGCAGACAAATTTTTTTATTAGCCTAGTAATAAATGAATGTTAGAATGTTAGAAGAAAAAAATTATAAAATGAAAATAATGGCAAATAAACAATATTTTAAAATAATAGAGTAAAATGTAAAAAAAATTTACTTTCGTCCATTCGACAAAGGCAGAATGTTGAATGCCTGAGTGAGTCAAGAGTCAATGAATTAATTAATGATTCAATGATTAAAAAAATTTAATGGAAAAATAATTTGAAAGATTGAATGAATGAATGAATGAATGAATGAATGAATCAATCAATCAATCAATCAATCAATCAATCAATCAATCAATCAATCAATCAATCAATCAATCAATCAATCAATCAATCAATCAATTAATCAATCAATGAGAAAAATTAAAAGACGAAACTACTAAACCTTAGTTCAAAAATCGTCGTTACAGTACTTCATTGCACCGACCACCATCATCTGGTCGGCACACATGATTTCATCCGAACTTCTGATTGTCAGTCGAACAGCCAACGCGCTGATTCTTCCTACACCACCATCATCATACGTAAACCATCTGAAACGTGCTGACTCCCACCACTGCCCACCTCTCATCATCCTGTAGACAAATTTTTTTTATTAGCGTAGTAGTAAATGAATGTTAGAATCTTAGGAGCAAAAAATTATAAAATGGAAACAATGGCAAATAAATAATATTTTAAAATAATAAAGTGATTAAAATGTAAAAAAAACTTACCGTCGTCCATTCGACAAAGGCAGAATGTTGAATGCGGTCCGGTTCCTACGTTGTCCTCCAAAACTGGTGCCAGTCCTCATCGAGATTGTTGTTGAAACACAGCCCGTGTTGATGGAGAAAGAGAAAATTCTCATCAGAAAGCTTAGCGGTGCCTGCATCTCAAATTGCTTAATAAAAATAATCCTATCTACCTATTCAAATACCTTAGCTAATCTATATTAAATTGTTAATGGTACGATAGTCGAAAGTCCTCCTTCATTCTCCCTCCTTGCACAGAGGCTCACCGACAGCCAGGGCACCGGATAGTAAACCATTGCCGTGCGGATAGTAGACTATTGCCGTGCGGATAGTAAACCATTTGCCGTCCGGAAGCCGTGCGGGTAGTAGACTATGGCCGTGCCGCATAGTAAATCATTACCGTGCAGATAGTAAACCATTGCCGTCCGGATAGTAAACCATTGCCGGTTCACCACTGGCCACCAAGGCTTACCTCTGACAAGAGACTTTGAAATCCAGAGTCAATCGGCTATCGTACCCTCAACTTACCTATTCATTACAATTAAGCCCTAGCTTACTTAAAATTACAAAACTCAAGAGCCCAATTCATTTAGCCAATCGGCACCCACCCCACCACCTACGTAATGCCTTGGGCTCCAACTTAGTAATAATATAAAACTTAAACCCTAAATCTATTAATGAGTATGTGTTACAACGTAGCCTTAACTTACCTATTCATTACCTTACGGTCCTAGCTTACCTAAAATTACAAAACTCAAGAGCCCAATTCATTTAGCCAATCGGCGCCCACCCCACCACCTACGTAATGCCTTGGGCTCCAACCTAATAATAATAATGTAGAACTTATAATTAGCCTGCCTATCGATACACTTACAGCGTTTTAATTAACATTACAAGATTGTTCCTAGAATTACATTATTGCCCTTAATTACCTATGAAATTAAATTACTCTCAACCTTAGTAATAATAAATTAGAATGTGTAATGAAAATAAAATTACGCTCAAAAACTAACATATGTGTTTATGTATGTATTTTTGTGTGTGTAATACGCTAACGCGTGTAATGTTGGTGCAAGAAAAAATAGAGATAAACTTACGCGCCTACCTATTCAACTACATTAGTGTTGGATACTTCCTATCTATCCTACCTACAGTTAAAATTATGCCTATCTAACCTACCTATATAGTTACTTAATGTAATTGTATGTGTATGTGTGTGCGTGTATGCATTCTTACTTAATGTTAAATTAAAGAGAAAAACAGAGAAAAAAGAATAAAACGTATCCCAGCCCGGCGTGTCTTTGCCACTGAATGAATGAATGAACGTAGCCTGACATCTTCCATGATGAACTCCTCTGGAAACTTCAACCTAAATGAATAAAATAAAAAAATTTATTTATTTTTATTTAAATGAAAGTAGAAAAACGAGCCGCGGTGAAACCCGCCAGCCGCAACAGCCTGTAACTGGCAAAAAAAGGAACCGCAAAGAAACCGTAAAACGAACCCCAGCCAGGCGTGCATTGTTTGACACTGAATGAACGAACGTAGCGTGACATCACAACCATTCTGATCTTCCACGATGAACTCCTCCGGAAGCTTCAACCTGAATGAATGAACCTGAAAGAACCTAAATGAACGGACAAATCTTATTTATTTAATTAATTTAAATGAAAATAGAGAAACGCAAAGAAGCCGACCGGTCGGCAAAGAAAAGAACCTCAAAGAAAGGTATCTATATAGGATTTACGCTCTATATAACTCTATATAACTCTATATAACTCTATATAACTCTATATAACTCTATATAACTCTATATAACTCTATATAACTCTATATAACTCTATATAACTCTATATAACTCTATATAACTCTATATAACTCTATATAACTCTATATAACTCTATATAACTCTATATAACTCTATATAACTCTATATAACTCTATATA